TGTAGGTCCGCACCACTCACCAAGTTCGTAGAGAACGAGGGAAGGTACAGACCAGACAGGGTGCCCGAAGGGGCAGCCGGACACGGGAGGACAGTAGAGAAGTGAGACAGGGCAGGACCCCCAGAGGGGTCAGCAAGGGAGACCGCAACCGGTCGGCCAAGTGGCGTGAGGGTAGTGCGGTCTCGAAAGAAGGAGCGAGAAGCCCCAGAGTCAAGTGTGAAAGTGAGGGAGGACGAGGGCGACGCAGTACCTGAGAGCGCAGTCTCACCAGCACCTGAGAGCGCAGTCTCACTAGTACCTGAGAGCGCAGACGCACTGGCACCTAGAGCAGCAGCCTCACAAGTACCTAGGGCAGCAGTACCAATGCCCGGGTCGGGCTGGAAACACCGGTAACCCTCATTCTCCTCACTATAAGTCACAGCATACATAGCAGAAAGGATAGCATCAAAATCAAGATCAAAGATCGCTACACCAGCCCTAAGGAGCTCATCCCAGCGAGGGATCTCACTAGCCCCGGGGAACTGCTGACGCCAAGCCTCCGTCAGGCGGCCAAAGCAGCGCTGGGTGGAGTGGGCACCCCCACACTGCTCACCCGCGCGGTCGCCGGAACGAAGAACGTAGGCGCAGGGACCAGTACCCCCACCCCTCTGACGCGCAGTGTACCACTCACGAAGCTGCTGAGGCGGAGGGATGTCCCGCGAACGCTGCTGCTGCTGCCGCTGCGAGCGCTGGCCACCACCACCGCCGCTCCGCTGCTGGGTACCACCACGACCAGCTCCACCTCCTCCACCACCACCGCCTCCTCCGCCGCCGCCTCCACCGCCTCCACCTCCACCGCCTCCACCTCCACCGCCTCCACTCCCGCTGCTGCCTCCACCACCACCGGTGCCACCACCACCACCGTCTCCGCCGCTGCTGCCACCACCACCACCACCACTACCACTACTCCCGCCGCCACCCCCACTCCCTCCGCCGCCTCCGCCTCCACCGCCACCGCCCCCTCCAGCTCCGCCCGCGCCCTTGCCCCCCTTGCCCTTGCCAGAGCGACGTCTCCCACTAGGGGCAGACGCCGAGCCGACCGACTCAAGACCAAGCAGGTCGGCCGCAGCAGCAGAGGCAACAGAGGGCAGCAAGGGGGAAGGAGAGCACCCCTCAAAGATGGGGGTGCGAGGGTCACCACGAGAGGCACCGACAGCGACTATGCTCTTCTCCGCTGCGAGGAGGGCCTTCTCGAGGAGGTCGACGGTGAGAGTGGTGGGACAGACTGCGAGAAAGTGGTCCCTGACTACGCGGAGGGAGTCAGGGAGGCGTGCGACTACGTAGTAGAGAGTGATGTACATGGGGGGGGGGGGTTCTTAGCACAGAACTCAGCAGGAAGGGCGGCGCGGTAGCGAGTGTCACTAGTGCGGAGGTGCGTAATGAGGTCAGCGACAGTGGGAAAGGCAGAGAGGTCAGGAAAGAGGTAGGGAAGCATGAGACGGCTCAGTGCAGCAGTGGCAGGAGAGGAGTAGCGTGCAACTACAGCGTCGTACAAGGTCTGAGCACTCTTGTACTGACTAAAATGCGCACGCTCAGAGGTAGGGAGGTGGCGACGCACAGCAAGACGTGCAGCAGCATCGCGGGTGGCCCACTTAGAGCGGACAGTGGGATCAGCATTGGCAGCAGGAGCAGGAGAGGCGCCAGAGGTGAGGTCAAAGAGAGAAAGGCTGTCAGCTCTGTCGCACTGTAAGAAAAGCTGCAGGTCATCTAGCCAGACCTCAAAATCAATGGCGCGACCCTCGGCGTCAAAGGCTAGGACACTAGGGGTGGCCATGATGACGACAGCGAAGCAGTGCAAGCAGTAGGGAAAGAGGGCGCAGTGACAGAGGGACTGTGCTCACCAGGCAGGGCAGGCCGTGCAGCTCGACAGAAAAGCAGAGCGGCGACCGGGCGGCTCGGGTGTACAGCTGCTCAGCTCCCGGGCGGCTCGGCGGCAGGGCGGCTCGGGTGCAGGGCGGCTCGGCTCCCGGGCGGCTCGGCGACGGACGGCTCGGGTGCAGGGCGACTCGGCTCCCGGGCGGCTCGGCGACTGGGCGGCTCGGCTGCCCGGCCGTCCGACTGCTGCAGGTGAGGCGGCGGGGTCGCGTAAGAGAACCGGGGCGGGGCCGCGAAGGGGCCGGCGGTAGGGCCGCGTAGGAGCCGGGGCAGGGCCGCGTTGGAGCCGGCGGCAGGGCCGGCGGTAGGGCCGGCTTAGGAGACGGGGCAGGGCCGCGTTGGAGCCGGCGGCAGGGCCGCGCAGGGGTCGGCGCAGGGCCGAGCAGAGGCCGGCGGCAGGGCCGCGTAAGGAGCCGGCGGACAGGGCCGTGAAGGAGCCGGGACGGGGCCGCGTGAGAGCCGGCGCGGGGCCGAGTAGGAGCCGGCGGCGGGGCCGCGTAGGAGCCGGGGCAGGGCCGCGTAGGAGGCCGGCGCGGGGCCGCGTAAGGGGCCGGCGCGGGGCCGCGTAATGGGGCCGGCGGCTGGGCCGCGTAAGGGGCCGGCGGACAGGGCCGCGTAGGAGCCGGGGCGGGGCCGCAATGGAGCCGGTGGCGGGGCCGAGTAGGAGCCGGGGACGGGGCCGCGTAGGAGCCGGCGCGGGGCCGCTTAGGAGCCGGCGCGGGGCCGAGTAGGAGCCGGCGGCGGGGCCGCGTAATGGGGCCGGCGGCTGGGCCGCGTAAGGGGCCGGCGGACAGGGCCGCGTAGGAGCCGGGGCGGGGCCGCAATGGAGCCGGTGGCGGGGCCGAGTAGGAGCCGGGGACGGGGCCGCGTAGGAGCCGGCGCGGGGCCGCTTAGGAGCCGGCGCGGGGCCGCGTAAGGGCCGCGTAAGGGGCCGGCGCGGGGCCGCGTAAGGAGCAGGCGGCGGGGCCGCGTAAGGGTCAGGGCGGGGCCGCGACAGAGTGGGCGGCGAGGCCGCAGGGGAGAGGGCGACTCGAGGGGTCGCTAAAAAAAAAAAACCGCGCCTCGGGGCGCGCTTCGGTGGGCCCAAAAAATCGGTCCTGGAGGGACCTAGCTCTATACCATGTGAAACAATGAGAAGAGGAATGAAAATGACTAAGTCAGAAGTTGGTACAAATAACAAACCCTAGGAATCTGTACCCCATGTGTGCTACCCCACTACAGCCTACAAACATGTATCAGCTATAATGTTCTGACAGATGCAGCGGAGCGGGCTGCAGCGCGTTCGCCGGTGGCACCTCCCGTGAAGATTCGCTGAAGGATTCGCTGCGCGTCAGGATCCAGACGCGCCAGAATCTCTGCAAAATCGGCAGCTCCCGAGTTGGATATGTGCGCATCTTGCGGGGTGCGTTGATTCGCTCGGCGAGCAGCAGAATCCGGGCGTCGGTCTTCTCGCCTGGCGTCCATAAAGTTTCGCGCGTGTGCCTGCGCGTGCTGGTCAAGATTCTGCTCGCGCCCCTCTCCGCGATTCTCGCCACGAGCTGCCCTCCCAAAATCTCGAACTTGGTTGGGGTGCTGGTCAAGATTTTGCTCGCGCCCCTCCTCACGATTTTCGCCACGAGCTGCCCTCCCAGAATCTCGAGGTTGCTGGGTGTGCTGGTCAAGATTCTGGTCGCGCCCCAGCCCTCGAATCTCGTGGTCAAGATTTCGGCCGCCTCCCACCACGCGATTCTCGCGGTCAAGATTGCGGTCGCGCCCCTGCTCATGATTTTCGCGGTCCAGATTTCGATCGCGCCGCTGCTCGTGGGGTGCCGCGCGTGGGGCGTCCTCAGCGGGTGCTGGCGACCGTTCGGGACGTGACGTAACATTTCCGCCCGCCGGATTGTTGATACGCTCGCCCGTAACCTGCCGTTCGCCGTTAAAACCGGGGGGCAGATCGCGCACACCATCCGCTCCGACATTTTGGGAAGTCGAAGCGTTGACTTGTCGTGACCCATTAAGCAAGTCGAGAGCGGTAATTGTGCCAGCCGCTTCCCGGCGAGGTGAGCGAGAACGATCACGGAGGGACGAGGCAAGATCTCCCTCACGCGTGGGTGAACCGCGACGTCCGTTACTCCTTAAATTCATGCGAGTAGGGGGAGGTCTTCCAGCCGCAGCAGAAATTAATCCGCTAGCCATTGTGGCTAAACGAGCAGCAACTACGTCTTCTAACAAAGTACTTCTATGCCCAGATCTGGGCATAGGAGGGGTTTTGAGTGTGCTGGTGGTAAGCAAGAGAGTTGGAAATTGCAAATGAGACTAGGTGGCAGGTCCCCAAGACCTGCCGAGAGATGAAGGAGCTTGTCTCCTTTACAGCACACCCCTCTTCAAATCGAATCACAATCTGCAAATTTTTTATTATAAAAAATTTCTCATATTTTGCTGGGTGTTGTGTCCCAGTGTTCGAAGCATCGGCGGGGGAAATTTGGCACCTTCCTCAACACTTGTTTTGCCGTAACGTTTTTCAATGGCCCTCGATGGACGATGTGAACCGCTTCCAGAGGCTGCTGCTGATTTTATACTGTGCGTCAGCTTGAAAGTGTTGCCGCGTCTGAGTTGATGAGCGAGGTCGGAGCTTGGAGGAAGATGAGACAAGTCCAAGTGGCGAGTCTCGAGAAAGAGCTTGATCTCCGATTGCTACTGAGTGATCACGTCGATGTAGATCAGCATAGTGCTTCTGGGAGTACCGCATCGTGGTGAGGCGTCGCTGAGTCTCCTCCCATAGTTGCTGCATGGTGAGATGTCGATGAGTCTTCTCCCAGAGCTGCTGCATGGTGATGACGAAGTCATGTGCGGCTTGGACGCATGCCCGTGTAGCTGGCTGTTGTGGTGTGATTGGTTCACGCATGTAGCACAGAAAGAAAAGAGATTTTACAATAACCACATGAAATACGTTGTTATACGCAAACTCCAGGGACGTTAACAGTAGCCGATATCGTCCTTGCATGTCGCCCGCAATAACTGTTTAACCATCTGATTGAGTCGCTTTGTCTGTCCATCCGTCTATGGTTGGTAGTTCACTTCCATCATATTGCGAAACCACTTTAACACTAGTTGTGTTGTGTCAAGGTTGTCACTTCCACAGAGCAAAGGACCATCCAGAGGGATGTAGGACAAGCATTTGGAAGTGACAAGGAGTGCTGACAAATGCGATTTGAACAGGATGGGCAATCAACATACACCCTACAGTAGTGAACAAAACTCGTTTTGACTTGTTTGTCTTCCTCTCCCTCCTCTCCCACCACCTTCTCTCCCTCCCCTTCCCCTAACTCCTGTTTGCACCCTACTTTCTTTCCATGGTGCTCCTCTTCCCCTCCTCCTCACCCTCTTTTCCCTTTCTAATCTGACTGTTGGACATTCCTTTTCCTCACCATCATCCTTACCGCCATCAATCTTTTCGTCCTCTAAGCTCTCCTCCTCACCCGTCACGACCTTTTTCTCCTCCACTTCTCCGGTCATAATCTCCATTCTCTGCAACCTCTCCCTCTTCCTATCAATAGCCACTTCTCTCTCCTTTCTCTGCTTCCAGTCCTTCTGCCTAAACTCCACCCGCCTACGCTCCCTTGCCTTCTCCACCTTCTCTGCCCTCTTTCCCTGCGCTCGCTCAAAGACGTGTTCAAATTCCTCTGCCAGCTGCCACTTTTCCAACCTTCTCTGACATTCCTCTGCCATTAGCTCAGAGTCATCGTCCTCCTGAGACAAAAGCCACGGAACGAATGCACGAGGCACATGTAAGCACAAGTCTGCAAAAAACTGAGCGAATCAGCACATGCTAACGAGAATCGGTGTGAGAGAACTAGGGAAACGAGTGAACCTGTACTATTTGCATGGGGCTCGAACACTTAAATCGACACTCCTTTTAAACAGGTACAATGCTCTCTCTCTCCACAACCCCTCTGCATATCACTCTCGTTCACAAACACACACCCCATGTCTCACCTCCTCTAGCAGCTCTGGAAAGTAGTATTGAATGCAATCCCGCAGCTGCTTTGATCTTAGCTGTGGCCATTGCTCCTTCTCCCTCCTCGCCTTCTCAGCCTGCTCCTCCTCCCTCCTCGCCTTCTCAGCCTGCTCCTTCTCCCTCCTCGCCTTCTCAGCCTGCTCCTCCTCCCTCCTCGCCTTCTCAGCCTGCTCCTTCTCCCTCCTCGCCTTCTCAGCCTGCTCCTTCTCCCTCCTCGCCTTCTCAGCCTGCTCCTTCTCCCTCCTCGCCTTCTCAGCCTGCTCCTTCTCCCTCCTCGCCTTCTCAGCCTGCTCCTCCTCCCTCCTCGCCTTCTCAGCCTGCTCCTCCTCCCTCCTCGCCTTCTCAGCCTGCTCCTTCTCCCTCCTCGCCTTCTCAGCCTGCTCCTCCTCCCTCCTCGCCTTCTCAGCCTGCTCCTTCTCCCTCCTCGCCTTCTCAGCCTGCTCCTTCTCCCTCCTCGCCTTCTCAGCCTGCTCCTTCTCCCTCCTCGCCTTCTCAGCCTGCTCCTTCTCCATCCTCGCCTTCTCAGCCTGCTCCTCCTCCCTCCTCGCCTTCTCAGCCTGCTCCTTCTCCCTCCTCGCCTTCTCAGCCTGCTCCTTCTCCCTCCTCGCCTTCTCAGCCTGCTCCTTCTCCCTCCTCGCCTTCTCAGCCTGCTCCATCTCCCTCCTCGCCTTCTCAGCCTGCTCCATCTCCCTCCTCGCCTTCTCAGCCTGCTCCATCTCCCTCCTCGCCTTCTCAGCCTGCTCCATCTCCCTCCTCGCCTTCTCAGCCTGCTCCTTCTCCCTCCTCGCCTTCTCAGCCTGCTCCTTCTCCCTCCTCGCCTTCTCAGCCTGCTCCTCCTCCCTCCTCGCCTTCTCAGCCTGCTCCTTCTCCCTCCTCGCCTTCTCAGCCTGCTCCTCCTCCCTCCTCGCCTTCTCAGCCTGCTCCTCCTCCCTCCTCGCCTTCTCAGCCTGCTCCTCCTCCCTCCTCGCCTTCTCAGCCTGCTCCTTCTCCCTCCTCGCCTTCTCAGCCTGCTCCTTCTCCCTCCTCGCCTTCTCAGCCTGCTCCTTCTCCCTCCTCGCCTTCTCAGCCTGCTCCATCTCCCTCCTCGCCTTCTCAGCCTGCTCCATCTCCCTCCTCGCCTTCTCAGCCTGCTCCATCTCCCTCCTCGCCTTCTCAGCCTGCTCCATCTCCCTCCTCGCCTTCTCCGCCTGCTCCTTCTCCCTCCTCGCCTTCTCAGCCTGCTCCTTCTCCCTCCTCGCCTTCTCAGCCTGCTCCTTCTCCCTCCTCGCCTTCTCAGCCTGCTCCTTCTCCCTCCTCGCCTTCTCAGCCTGCTCCTCCTCCCTCCTCGCCTTCTCAGCCTGCTCCTCCTCCCTCCTCGCCTTCTCAGCCTGCTCCTCCTCCCTCCTCGCCTTCTCAGCCTGCTCCTCCTCCCTCCTCGCCTTCTCAGCCTGCTCCTCCTCCCTCCTCGCCTTCTCAGCCTGCTCCTTCTCCCTCCTCGCCTTCTCAGCCTGCTCCTCCTCCCTCCTCGCCTTCTCAGCCTGCTCCTTCTCCCTCCTCGCCTTCTCAGCCTGCTCCTTCTCCCTCCTCGCCTTCTCAGCCTGCTCCTCCTCCCTCCTCGCCTTCTCAGCCTGCTCCTCCTCCCTCCTCGCCTTCTCAGCCTGCTCCTTCTCCCTCCTCGCCTTCTCAGCCTGCTCCTCCTCCCTCCTCGCCTTCTCAGCCTGCTCCTTCTCCCTCCTCGCCTTCTCAGCCTGCTCCTTCTCCCTCCTCGCCTTCTCAGCCTGCTCCTTCTCCCTCCTCGCCTTCTCAGCCTGCTCCATCTCCCTCCTCGCCTTCTCAGCCTGCTCCATCTCCCTCCTCGCCTTCTCAGCCTGCTCCATCTCCCTCCTCGCCTTCTCAGCCTGCTCCATCTCCCTCCTCGCCTTCTCAGCCTGCTCCTTCTCCCTCCTCGCCTTCTCAGCCTGCTCCTTCTCCCTCCTCGCCTTCTCAGCCTGCTCCTCCTCCCTCCTCGCCTTCTCAGCCTGCTCCTTCTCCCTCCTCGCCTTCTCAGCCTGCTCCTCCTCCCTCCTCGCCTTCTCAGCCTGCTCCTCCTCCCTCCTCGCCTTCTCAGCCTGCTCCTCCTCCCTCCTCGCCTTCTCAGCCTGCTCCTTCTCCCTCCTCGCCTTCTCAGCCTGCTCCTTCTCCCTCCTCGCCTTCTCAGCCTGCTCCTTCTCCCTCCTCGCCTTCTCAGCCTGCTCCATCTCCCTCCTCGCCTTCTCAGCCTGCTCCATCTCCCTCCTCGCCTTCTCAGCCTGCTCCATCTCCCTCCTCGCCTTCTCAGCCTGCTCCATCTCCCTCCTCGCCTTCTCCGCCTGCTCCTTCTCCCTCCTCGCCTTCTCAGCCTGCTCCTTCTCCCTCCTCGCCTTCTCAGCCTGCTCCTTCTCCCTCCTCGCCTTCTCAGCCTGCTCCTTCTCCCTCCTCGCCTTCTCAGCCTGCTCCTCCTCCCTCCTCGCCTTCTCAGCCTGCTCCTCCTCCCTCCTCGCCTTCTCAGCCTGCTCCTCCTCCCTCCTCGCCTTCTCAGCCTGCTCCTCCTCCCTCCTCGCCTTCTCAGCCTGCTCCTCCTCCCTCCTCGCCTTCTCAGCCTGCTCCTTCTCCCTCCTCGCCTTCTCAGCCTGCTCCTCCTCCCTCCTCGCCTTCTCAGCCTGCTCCTCCTCCCTCCTCGCCTTCTCCGCCTGCTCCTTCTCCCTCCTCGCCTTCTCAGCCTGCTCCTTCTCCCTCCTCGCCTTCTCAGCCTGCTCCTCCTCCCTCCTCGCCTTCTCAGCCTGCTCCTCCTCCCTCCTCGCCTTCTCAGCCTGCTCCTCCTCCCTCCTCGCCTTCTCAGCCTGCTCCTCCTCCCTCCTCGCCTTCTCAGCCTGCTCCTTCTCCCTCCTCGCCTTCTCCACCTGCTCCTTCTCATGCCTCAACTCTAGTATCATTGAATGCTTCAACTCTTCCATTTTCCCCATCACCTCTCGCATTTCCCATGCCCTTTCCTCCTTTGCCGTCAGCATCTCTCTCCTTGTTCTTCCCAGCTCCTCTTTCAGAGAGGCGGTGAGAACTTCATGTTTGAACTCCTCCCTCCACCGTTGCTCCATCCTTTGCTGCATCTCTTCCATCCTCCCCACCAACTTCCCCACATCATCATCCAATCCCCTTCCCCACTGCTGCCTCACCTCTTCAGCCTTCCCCAAAACCCTCCTCATCTCATCAGCCCCTTCCTCCCGTGCCACTCTCACGTCCCTCCTCGTTGCTTCTAGCACAACTCTCAATCCGCTCATCTGATCGTCCAGATTCTGGCTCCATTGCTGACTCATCTCATCCACCTTCTCCACCAGCTTCAATACCTCCCGTGCCCTCTCCTCCCTCACCACCTGCACCTCCCTCCGTATTGCATCCATTCCTTGTTCTCCTTCCTCCTTGTCTTGCACCACCTGCTGCCTCCACCCACGCACTTCCCTCCTCAGCTCCTCCTGGTGCTGTCGCAAACCATACAGTTCCTGCGGCACTCTTTGAAAGCTGCAGACTACAGCTCTGGCAGCCCACCAGCGCCTGGGCACAGAAACACAACACATTCCAACCAATCATGCAGATCGTGGAAGAATGAAAACGTCTGAATGGATGAACTGAAAGTGCGTAACGTCTGAGAGGAACAGGAGCATGATTGAAGCAAGAAGGTGGATGTGCGGTCGAGACTGTGTGGTCAAGACTGTGTGGTCGAGACTGTGCGGTCGAGACTGTGTGGTCGAGACTGTGTGGTTGAGACTGTGGTCGAGACTGTGTGGTTGGCATACCTGGCTACTGCAGACATGACATGCATCCTGGTGGCGAGAAAAGCCCCCTTGGCGCGACTAGCGGCCTCCGCGGAGGCATCACATAGAGCAACAATACGATCTGCTTCAGATGCAAGCCAATAGGAAAAGAAAACCTGCACAGTCAAGGGTAAAGATGATGACTGGAAAAGATGAAACTAGAAAAGGCGATGACTGGAAAATGATGATGACCGGAAAATGATGAAACTTAGACCCATTGAAAGAAAAAGGACGAAGAGAGGAGAAAATCAAAGGCCAATAAGTATCAGAAAATTGCAAGGTCAAATACGGGGGCTAGAATTAGAAAGCGTACTGGTCGTAAGGCAAATGGGATCAAGTTACAATGCAATTTTGCTGTCTCAGCTAACAAAGGCCTTGCATGCAAAACTCGTCAGGCAGACCCAAAGCCGCACCATATAGAAAATGCCTATAGAATGGAGCCTCTGCATCCCACGCTTCGCATCGGACAGGTGGCAGTGCAGGCATGAGACAAGGTGGGAGAGGGACACGCCCGTGCAGCAGAGGACGAGCGCTAGTGTGGTGCAGACGAGGTATGCGTGGATGATCTAACGGGGGATGGGTGGGAAACGGGATGGAAGAAGTGCAAGATGAACTCCTACACGCAAGGTAAGATGATACTCATCCCACCTCTCTCCCGTATCAACTCATCCCACCTCTCTCCCGTATCAACTCATCCCACCTCTCTCCCGTATCAACTCATCCCACCTCTCTCCCGTATCAACTCATCCCACCTCTCTCCCGTATCAACTCATCCCACCTCTCTCCCAGTCATCAGCTCATCCCACCTCTCTCCCAGTCATCAGCTCATCCCACCTCTCTCCCAGTCATCAACTCATCCCACCTCTCTCCCGTATCAACTCATCCCACCTCTCTCCCGTATCAACTCATCCCACCTCTCTCCCAGTCATCAGCTCATCCCACCTCTCTCCCAGTCATCAGCTCATCCCACCTCTCTCCCAGTCATCAACTCATCCCACCTCTCTCCCAGTCATCAACTCAACCCACCTATCTCCCAGTCATCAACTCATCCCACCTCTCTCCCAGTCATCAGCTCATCCCACCTCTCTCCCAGTCATCAGCTCATCCCACCTCTCTCCCAGTCATCAGCTCATCCCACCTCTCTCCCAGTCATCAACTCATCCCACCTCTCTCCCAGTCATCAGCTCATCCCACCTCTCTCCCAGTCATCAACTCATCCCACCTCTCTCCCAGTCATCAACTCATCACACCTCTCTCCCAGTCATCAACTCATCCCACCTCTCTCCCAGTCATCAACTCATCCCACCTCTCTCCCAGTCATCAACTCATCCCACCTCTCTCCCAGTCATCAGCTCATCCCACCTCTCTCCCAGTCATCAGCTCATCCCACCTCTCTCCCAGTCATCAGCTCATCACACCTCTCTCCCAGTCATCAACTCATCCCACCTCTCTCCCAGTCATCAACTCATCTCACCTCTCTCCCAGTCATCAGCTCATCCCACCTCTCTCCCAGTCATCAGCTGATCCCACCTCTCTCCCAGTCATCAGCTCATCCCACCTCTCTCCCAGTCATCAACTCATCCCACCTCTCTCCCAGTCATCAACTCATCCCACCTCTCTCCCAGTCATCAACTCATCCCACCTCTCTCCCAGTCATCAACTCAACCCACCTCTCTCCCAGTCATCAGCTCATCCCACCTCTCTCCCAGTCATCAGCTCATCCCACCTCTCTCCCAGTCATCAACTCATCCCACCTCTCTCCCAGTCATCAGCTCATCCCACCTCTCTCCCAGTCATCAGCTCATCCCACCTCTCTCCCAGTCATCAACTCATCCCACCTCTCTCCCAGTCATCAACTCATCACACCTCTCTCCCAGTCATCAACTCATCCCACCTCTCTCCCAGTCATCAACTGATCCCACCTCTCTCCCAGTCATCAGCTCATCCCACCTCTCTCCCAGTCATCAGCTCATCCCACCTCTCTCCCAGTCATCAGCTCATCCCACCTCTCTCCCAGTCATCAGCTCATCCCACCTCTCTCCCAGTCATCAGCTCATCCCACCTCTCTCCCAGTCATCAACTCATCCCACCTCTCTCCCAGTCATCAACTCATCCCACCTCTCACCAAGTCATCAACTCATCCCACCTCTCTCCAAGTCATCAACTCATCCCACCTCTCTCCCAGTCATCAGCTCATCCCACCTCTCTCCCAGTCATCGACTCATCCCACCTCTCACCAAGTCATCAACTCATCCCACCTCTCTCCCAGTCATCAACTCATCCCACCTCTCTCCCAGTCATCGACTCATCTCACCCCTCTCTCTCATCAGCTCATCTCAACCCCTCCTCCTACATCAACTCACCCCTCTTAGCAAATCAGCTCATCTCACCTCATTGAACTCCTTCTCACCATAAAGTACGTCCTCGAAGCACTATCTGAACCGAACACCACCCCTCCAGCAGCCACTTCAAACGCGCTGTAACTGGTGGAGCGTTGAGAGTCCACGTCACCATGCAGACTGGCCGCAGCAGAGGCACCGAGGGAAGGCGCCAACACAGCAGCACCGCAGAGAACCGCTCTCACAGAAACACCATGAGCAAGGGACCTAGCAGCAGGGAGGCATCTCGTAGCACCTTCCACTCGTGGCACCATGATAGAAACAGATACGGCCATGGCCCTTGCGGTCCAGGCAGACAAGGCAAGCAAGGCAGCCAAGGCAAGCAAGGCAAGCAAGCCAGCCAAGGCAAGCAAGCCAGCCAAGGCAAGCAAGGCAAGCAAGCCAGCCAAGGCAAGCAAGGCAAGCAAGGCAGCCAAGGCAAGCAAGGAAGGCAAGGCAGCCAAGGCAAGCAAGGCAGCCAAGGCAGCCAAGGCAAGCAAGGCAGCCAAGGCAGCCAAGGCAGCCAAGGCAGACAAGGCAGACAAGGCAGACAAGGCAGACAAGGCAGACAAGGCAGACAAGGCAAGCAAGGCAGCCAAGGCAGACAAGGCAAGCAAGGCAGCCAAGGCAGACAAGGCAGACAAGGCAGACAAGGCAAGCAAGGCAGCCAAGGCAGACAAGGCAAGCAAGGCAGCCAAGGCAGACAAGGCAAGCAAGGCAGACAAGGCAGACAAGGCAAGCAAGGCAGCCAAGGCAGACAAGGCAAGCAAGGCAGCCAAGGCAGACAAGGCAAGCAAGGCAGCCAAGGCAGACAAGGCAAGCAAGGCAGCCAAGGCAGACAAGGCAGCCAAGGCAGGCAAGGCAGGCAAGGCAGACAAGGCAGTGAGACTAGGAACTCGAATGGAGGAGACGCTGGGGATACCAACGACAAATCACCTCTGGAGTAGCACCCCCCATGGTTCAGGCTCCCGTCTTTCTCGGTTCGGCTGTGAAAGACGAAGCGGAGACGCCAGCGTCGCACTGTGCGTCGCATTCAGCGTCGCGTACGTCGGACAATAGATGAGTGCAACCGGCGCGGGGAGAGTAGTAAACGCGGCACGGCGTTCACTCCGCTGTCCCGCGCCGCGCCCGTTGACGAAAGCGGGGCCTCGTGCCGTCAGCCGCTACATACATGCGTACTGTCCGAGGCCTCGAGAGCGCTCACGATATCTCACACGACAAGCTGAAGATGACAAAAGCTTCATGCGCACGAAGGGCGCACCGCGAACTCGATATCGCGACATGCGAGATGTAACCGTATGCCGACAAGTGTAGGAATAAAGATGGCGAAGACCAGGGCGTGAGGATCGCGTGAAATGCGTAGCGTGCTCACTATGTGGATCCCTGCATGCATAATAGGTCCTCGTTTAGGGCGCGTCTGTTATTATGGAAGTCAGTGAAAATGTATATAATCATTTTTAGGTTTCCCAACAGATGCGGAAGATGGTCAGTAGTATAATGGTCAGTATCTCCGCCTGTCACGCGGAAGATGGATCCCCGGCATCGGCATTTCTCATCGAGGTTTTAGGCACGGCGCGGCGTGATGTCCAGATTGTAGCCAGGAGCTATCATTTGACCGACCACCCTGCAAATTCACGCAAGAGTTGCACATTCAATCAAGAATCTCTGTTGAATTCATACACAGCAAGGACTCACTAACTGCACCACAATTATGCTATATACATCAATGTGACAGAGAAGAGTTTCCCCAACATCCTCCTTACATACGTACACTTAGTTTTTTTCTCATTTACTGTACGGTACTCGCGCTTTTTGGTGTCACAATATTCCAGTCACGAAAGGACCTAACCGTGTAACACGCAGGACTATACCAAACACCGGCATGCCCCAAACATATGAAATGGTGACCACAGATATCTGTGGCTGGCACTGGAAGAAAAACATACAGATACAGCCGAGAGATACAGAATTTACATTCTTCCGGAAACAGTGTCCGGGCCTCTTGCATCCAAGTGTAGACCGGTGGAACTCAACTCACGAATGGCCTGCAGAGAGAGGAAGAAAACACTCGAATGAATGCAAGAAGCACTTACGAAACTCCGTGCAAGAAACACAACTGTACGAGATGGCTCTATAAGGGGACTGCCTGAGAGCTCCCTGGTAGAACCCAGCTCACGAATGGCCTGCAGAGAGAGGAAGCAAACACAAAATGAGACACGCAAAATAAGAAATGGCTGCGAGGTGGGAATTCAAAACAGCAGATTGCACTCGGGTGGAGCAAGCTGACGGTTGAGTCGACCCAACGGACGTGTCAATAACGGACAGGTGGGCTGAGGAGGCCTTACTTCGCAACGAAACGAACCCCATGGGTTTGGTGAGAGGAAGTGAGGAAGCGAGCTGACTTCTGAGTCGACTCAAAAGACATGATCACATGGTTGATAGGATGGCAAACGCTACTCCCTCAGAATCCGACCAGAGTTTTGAGTCGACTCAAAAGTCAGACAGTGAGAAATGCAGTGTGAAGCGACTCACATGGTTGATGGGAATAGCGAATGCCACTCCCTCAGCATCTGACCGGATGGCTGTTGTGATGCCAATCACCTGCAGCCACCAATCTGATCGCGCCATGTCAGCAGCAAGCTAGGCAAATCATGACCTTTATGAGTGTATCCATACCCCTCTGAGTCTGTTCTGTTCACAAGAGGACTGCCTGAGCTCCCTGGGTTGATGGGAGGTCTATACAGAAAAGCAGCTCTATACCGATCGGAGCGCAGTGGGCACACACCAACCTTCTCGTTCAGCATGAGAGCAGCACGAGAGCAGCACACGCACCTCTTAAAACTCGTTCACGAGGGGACTGCCTGAGCGTCCCGGGTTGATGGCACAGTCTGTTTGGAAGAAGTGCAGCGAGGAGTGTGGCACTCCCACCTGATGGGAGGGGTGGGGAAAGGGGAGAGGAAACTCGAGGGAGTGAGAGTGGGGGGAGAAGGAGGGAGTGTAAAAAACCTCCCCGGGTTGATGGCACAATCAGTTTGGAAAAAGTGAAGCGATGAGTGCGACACTCCCACCCACCTGGTGGGCGGGGAGAGCGGAGGAGGGAGGAGGGAGGAGTGGGAGTGGGAGAAGGGGGGAAAGAAGGGATTGGAGAGAGGAGAGCTCCCTGGGTTGATGGCACAGTCTGTTTGGAAGAAGTGCGGCGAGGAGTTGGACACTCCCACCTGGTGGGACGGGTGGCGGAAAATGGAGAGGAAACTCGAGGGAGTGAGAGTGTGGGGAGAAGGAGAAAATGGAGGAAAGCTCTCCGGGTTGATGGCACAGCTGGTTCGAAGCAGTGCAGCGAGGAGTGGGGCACTCCCACCTGGTGGGAGAGGAGGGGGGGAGGGAAGGGGAAAAGGGGAGGCAGTGGGAGAAGGAGAGGGAGAATGAGAGGGGGCGGGGGAGTGGAGGGAGGAGGGCTCCTGATGGCATAGTTAGTCTGGAAGTGGTGGAGTGAGGAGCAGGGCACTCCATTTCCCCTACCTGAGCAGCAACTAATGACTCCCAGGCTGCTAATGACTCCTAGGCTGCTAATGACTCCTAGGCTGCTAATGACTCCCAGGCTGCTAATGACTCCCAGGCTGCTAATGACTCCCAGGCTGCTAATGACTCCCAGGCTGCTAATGACTCCCAGGCTGCTAATGACTCCCAGGCTGCTAATGACTCCCAGGCTGCTAATGACTCCCAGGCAGCTAATGACTCCCAGGCTGCTAATGACTCCCAGGCAGCTAATGACTCCCAGGCTGCTAATGACTCCCAGGCTGCTAATGACTCCCAGGCTGCTAATGACTCCCAGGCTGCCAATGACTCCCAGGCTGCTAATGACTCCCAGGCTGCTAATGACTCCCAGGCTGCTAATGACTCTCAGGGTGCTAATGACGCCCAGGCTGATAATTCCAGACGTAAACCCGTGTAGATCTGCTCTCTGCCATTCCCCCACCCCCCCATCAACCTCAATCTCACCTGAGCGGCAGTGCGGTGCAGGCTGCTAATGACGCCCAGGTGCCAAACGTCCCATGCACAGCTGCTCTTCAACTCCCTCCTCCCCGTCCTCCCCCTCAACCCCTCCTCTCCCGCCTAACAACCTCACTCACCTGACCAGCAGTGCGGTGGAGGCTGCTAATCACGCCCAGGCTGATGCTGCCAGGTAGCCCCACAGGATTGCCCACCGAGATCACCCAATCAGCAAGCTCCACGTCATCATTGTCACCAATGGGCGCACAGGGCAGCCACTCCTCTTCCCTGTTGCCCGCTCCTTCCTCTCTTCCATCCCTCTGACCTCCTCCTCTCTCCCCTCCATCCCCTTGCCTTTCTCCCTCCTCTCCATCGCCTTTCCCTCCTCTCTCCCCTCCTCTCTCTTGCTCTCCTCCTCTCGCTTCCCCAAATATGACCGCCACAGATGAGTTCTCATCCCATTCCCCCTTGATCAAACCCTCCCCAACCCCTTCCCGTGACCCCCCTCCTCTGCAACCATGCACAGTAGCCCTCTCCTTAGCTGACCCAACACTGTCTGCTGCCGACCACCCTGTCCCCTCTTCTTCTGCTACAGCCAACTCACTCTTCACTCTTGCTACAGCCAACTCACTCTTCACTCTTGCTACAGCCAACTCACTCTTCACTCTTGCTACAGCCAACTCACTCTTCACTCTTGCTACAGCCAACTCACTCTTCACTCTTGCTACAGCCAACTCACTCTTCACTCTTGCTACAGCCAACTCACTCTTCACTCTTGCTACAGCCAACTCACTCTTCACTCTTGCTACAGCCAACTCACTCTTCACTCTTGCTACAGCCAACTCACTCTTCACTCTTGCTACAGCCAACTCACTCTTCACTCTTGCTACATCCAACTCACTCTTCACTCTTGCTACAGCCGGCTCTTCAACCCCTTGCAGGCTGGAAAGAGGGCTGGCTGGTGGCCCTTTGGTATGCAGCCTGTGAGTCACCTACTGGGCAGCAGTGGGAGGAAAGAGAGAACAAGAGAAGGAACATGTCTGCTGCAGAGCAACCTTCCCCCTTCGGGTCAACAGCCTGTGAGTCACCTACTGGCCAAGTGTAGATAGACACAACACAATACAACAGGCAAAAAAGAAAGAAAGGAAGGACTGATAGAATGCTTGAAGTGGTAGTAAGAGCCTCTGATGGTGGAAGCATGGTTCTGATTGGTCACGCTAGAGATGAGGTGGTCATGAGAGGGCTCTCCCTTCGTGTGAGGCACTGATGACAATGCTTGAAGCTGGAGAATCAACAAGCGAGCCTCACTTGGTGAACATTTATCAATGTGGTAGAGAAATGGCTCACTAACGCTGAACCTATTTCGAACCTATTTCACCATGGAAGAATGAGTGGGGGATTCAAGCAACAACCACAGGCAGACCCGCATGCGCTAACGTTGACGCTCGCAGCGGCTCCTTCAGTGCTAAGTAACCCCGTACCATGGTCAACAAACAATTGCAGTGATACGAGTTTTGAGTCGACTCAACAGTCACTTCAGTGCTAAGTAACCCCGTACCAGGGTCAACAGACAAATGCAGCGATACACTACCTTGACCTGACTGACAGCAACACTACCTTAAGCATTGCGAGGTCTGCAGAGGGATGCAGTGCGGTTGACTGAGTGGCAAAGCGACGACCGTCGGGAAGAAGCAGCTGAAGGGATGGGAAGAATGGGGGTTTGAGATGGGAGACATGGGAGGGATGGGGTGGGGAAGGGCGCGTGAGGAGAGAATGTTGAACTAGCACTGCCATGCCCGCGGACGGATGCTGTGCGCATGAAGTCCCGGTAATAAAGCGACGACCGTCAGGAAGAAGCAGCTGACAAGAAGGGAGGGATGGGTGGGGTGGGTGGGAGTGAGGGATGGGAGATCTGGGGGGAATGGGGGGATGGGAGATAAGGGGGGGAATAGGGTGGTAGAGATAAGAGGGATGAGAGGGATGGAAGAGAACAGAAGGGAGGGATGACAGATGAACTAGCTGTGACCGATGTTCTCCTTAGGCTTCTGTGACATGTCTCATCCATCCCATCCCTCCCTGTATGAGATGAGACATGAGTATGTATCTAATCCCAGTAGGGTGATTCCCCTCTTCGCCTTACCGTCACCCTCACTGCACCATGAACCACATTGGCGTGTCGAGAACCAGGGAGGGAACCAGCCGCTGAGCACCAGCACATGTGTCATACAGGGCATAACAGCACATGTGTCATACAGGGCATACCAGCACATGTGTCGTACAGGGCATACTAGCACATGTGTCATACAGGGCATACCAGCACAAGTGTCATACAGGGCATACCAGCACATGTGTCATACAGGGCATACCAGCACATGTGTCATACAGGGCATACCAGCTGCTCGTGTGCCATGGTAACGAGGTGACTTCTGAGTCGACTCAAAAGTCACCTCGGCACCAGCACATGTGTCATACAGGGCATACCAGCTGCTGTGACATACAAAACATGGCATGCAGGAGAGTGATTCCTCCCTTCGCCCTACCATCACTCTTGCTGTACCATCCACCCACCACATGTGCGTTGGTGAGCATCAGCCACTGAGCACTAACACACCACATCCCAATAGGCAATGTGTGCCAGACATCCGTTCGTATCCAGAAAGACATTCCCGCTTCCTCACCCCCCTTACCGTCACTCTCGCTGCACCATCCACCACATGCGCGTTGGTGAGAACCAGCCATTGAACGCTGCTGACAATGAATCCACTGCCGCTGGTGGGTGGGGGTGAAGAAAAGGTGGGGAGGAGGGGGGGATAGGTGTTGAGGCGCATCAAACGACATGAGCCTTGGTGAGAACCAGCCGCGAGTGCTGCTGCAGAGGATGAACCCGCTGCCGCTGGTGGGTGGGAGTGGAGGACCGGAGGGAAGAAGGGTGCTGAGGCGCCTCAAAAGACACGAGCCTTGGTCGGAGCCAGCCAGCTGCTGAGTGCTGCTGACGATGACCCCACTGCCGCTGGTAGGTGGGGATGAAGAAAAGGAGGGAAGGAGGAGGGAATAAGTGTTGAGGCGCAACAAACGACATGAGCCTTGGTCGGAGCCAGCTGCTGAGTGCTGCTGACGATGAATCCATTGCCTTAGGTGGGTGGAGACAGGGGACAGGGGGGGGGGGGGGGGGGGGGGGGGAGAAGAAGGGAGGTAAGGATGGTTTGAAGAGCGCCTTGCATAAAAATCATTCTTAGGTGATTTATAACAGGCCGCTTAGCGCTGCTGACGATGAACCCGCTGCCGCTGGTGGGTGGAGAGGAAGGGAGGAAGGGATGGAATGGGGGCGGGTGTGTTCTGAGGCATCTCACAAAAGTATATTTACAATGGTTTTTTCACCAAGTGGCTCCATCACCAGCTGCTGAGTGTTGTGGATTATAAAACTGCTGCTGCTGATGGGTAGGGAGGAAAGAAAAGGGAGGGACGGGTGGGAGGAAGGGAAGTTGGACGGGAGGGAGGGATGTTGGGAAGAAGGTAAGGAAGGAGGGTACTAGGCGGGTGAACCCATGGGCCATAGCCACTGGAGTACTGAGGAGCGAGAGATGGGGAGGGAAGGGAGGAGGGGCATGGAGGGAGGTGGGCGAAGTAGAAAACAAGGAGGCCCATGCGGCAAGAACCTTTGAACGAACATGAGCATGCATGCGCGAGCGAACAGGAGCACGCAAGAACAAACATGAGTGAGAATGCATGGAGCAAGCGCTTATGGAATGCAGTTACAAACGCCGCTTATGGAATGCAGTTACTTTTGAGAATTCTCAAAAGTCACTCCACTACAAGAGAATTATTGTGCGAAACTGGTTGAGCAGAAATCGAAGCAAAACCCCTCGCAAGGCAGCTAGGCTCACACACTAGTTTCTGTGTACGGCTCGGGTGCATTGGCCTTCGCCTTCAGCTTGGCCTCCATCCTCCCCCTCTCCTTGAGCCTGCGCAACCACGCCCCCACTTGAGGCTTGTGCGGCCATGAGTATGCCAGGCTTGCCATGAGGCGAGTGCTGCCATCATCCGCGCTCCCAGTGCTTGCAATCAAATCAGATCTCGCCAGGAACATCACGTCGTCTGCAGGAACATGAATGAATGGAGTGATGAGAAGTCTCAATAGTGTTTCGCCAGGAGCATCAAAGGAGTGGGTTGGTTGCAGGGTAAGTTGGGATGGGAGGGTGGTTGAAAAGAGCGATGTGAAAAGGTGTGAAACGGGGAAAGGACGGAGAACAAGGTGATGAGGGAGAGAAAAAGGGAACAGTATGTAAGGGAGGGCTGCGGGCATGGGTCACCATGCGTGGAAACAGGAGATGGCATGCGTCTACAATGTAACCATGCTCTCACAGCCATACTGCTGTGCTAAACCGAACTCAACCCACCTGTCTCTCTGAACTCATCCCCCTCTCCGCCATCCACACCACATTGCCACTGCTGCTTTTGAGAATTCTCGGAAGATACTGCTGTGCGAACCCCAACCCACCTTGCCAGAATCTCTAACCCACCTGTCTCCATGAACTCATCCCCCTCTCCTCCATCCACACTGTCGCTGCTGCCCCGCCCCTCTGCCTCCTCGCCTTTGCCCTCCTCGCTCTCTCTCAAGGGCTGGTGGGGATGCCCGATGAAGGTGCCTGCAAGTGGGGGAGCGACGCGACAGGCACGCGAGACGAGTGGCGGGTACAAGGTGTGTCATTCAAGGTGGTACAAGGCATGTCATTCGAGGTGGTACAAGGCGTGTAATGAGAGGTGGTACAAGGCGTGTCATTCGAGGTGGTACAAGGCGTGTCATTCGAGGTGGTACAAGGCGTGTCATTCGAGGTGGTACAAGGCGTGTCATTCGAGGTGGTACAAGGCGTGTCATTCGAGGTGGTACAAGGCGTGCCATTCGAGGTGGAGTGCATGCGAGTGCGTTAGTTTGCAGGCAGGGCCTGAAAAGGACGCTCATGCTTAACAATCAGTGAGGGCTTTAAGGAGTTTTTTCAAGCGTGAATATCAACACCCTGTAAAATAAACCGCCTCTTATACACAGCAGACCCTGGTAAACCATGAGTCTTGGGTTCCACTAAAGAATACCTTGACATCTATTTGTCAAAAGGACGAGCCAGAGCATGCTCTTGAGTCGACTCAAAAGTAAACCGCATCCTGTACCATGTGTCCTGGGTTCCAGTCAAGGGTTCCTTGAGATCTATTAGTCCAAACGAAGAGCCAGAGCATCACGGCATACCTTTCGACCTATTCTTGAACGAGAGCTGGAGCAACGCGATTGGCTGCAAGCCGAACAAATGCATTGGCCTTAAGCCTCCTCCCCTGCTTATTTCTAAGGGTTCCCACTTGGCTAGCTTGGACTATAGTTGAAGAATCAACCGTAGCTGAAGATTCAACTAAGTTTAAGATGCAACTGTAACTGTGGCTGCTACTGCTGGTGCTGCTCTCACTCCCACGGCCGCAGCACCCATCAGGAACAGACTAGACAGCAGCAGCACACGCACTCCGCTCCTCAGGAGTTTGCTGGCATGGGAGAGAGCAGCAGCAATGGCACCGCGGCGGGAAAGAGCAGCGGGGAAAATGAGGATAACGGCGGTGGTGACTTGAACAGGCAAAACAAGCAGCGACACCAGTGGTAGCAGCGGAAGGAGAGAAAGTAAGGGAATCAGAGGACGGTCAAGCGAGGGGGAGACGAGTTCCCAAGGCTCGAGCAGAGGCTCGGCCCAATTCACTGTGACAGGCTTGGGAGGGAGAGGCTCGGGCAAGGACGGCTCAAGTGGGCCACTGGCGCCCAGCCTCCCTTGTTGGAGCAACCATGTGGACGCATGTGGAAGGGCGGAGAGGAGAGCGGAGAGGCGGGCGGAGGCGAAGGCGGAAATGCCCCATTCCCCTGTGCGCGCGAGAGAGGGGTCGGGAGTGGGGAGGAGTGTGTTGCGGTGGTGCGTGCTTGTTGTGTGAGCAGGCGTGTGCCCGGAGTTGGTCGGTTCAGGGACGGATGGAAGGGTGCAGGGAGGCATGGGCGGGCGAGGAGCAGGGAGGCGGAATGAGGAGGCGGGAAGCAGCTGCAAGGACGAGAAGGACGACGCTGCTCTGAGTGTCGGACGGTTTCTGACCCTCTATTATAGAACCTACTGCGGATTTGAAGTGCATTGCGAGGAGACTTGGGAGCAAGCCGTCGAGCCGTAGACGCGTGAATTGCGCCTGATCCGAGCGCCGAGTGAGCAGCCATTCACATTGCTCAGCTCTGCGCGCGCAAGCACGTCACGCGCGCGCGAAGCTACTGCGGATTCGAGGTGCCTTGCGAGGAGACTTGGGAGCAATGCGTCGAGCCGTAGACGCGTGAATTGTGCCTGATGTAAATACGTGTCCTCTTGTTGGCAGGAACTCTAAGTTGTTCTAAACGATAGAGCACACTCTCGGCTTTCCAACGAGCCGTCAAGCACGTTAATCGCCTAAGTATCCGGCGAGATATAGGCGTTCACGTGAATGCTTATGCTCTTAGGACGCAGGATAGAAGCTCTCTGGAATTTTGAGTTCGAATGGACCATGTACAAGATGATTCAGAGTTTCAGAATAAAACATGCATACAAGGCAAGTCGATTTATAGCAAATGCATTACATCGAACCGCACATGTAACATCGCATCGCTACACTCGCGTCGCGAATGCGCCGCGTGTAACATTTCGGTTGGGGTGAAATTCGGCCACCGAATTTCACACCGAACACACCGAATTCGCCTTGCACTTGAAGGTTGGAATGTCGTGCCGCCACGTGGCACCAAACCATGAGTCTTTCAAAGTCAACCGGTGCTTCCCCACCGATCCCTAGTCAAAGGGATCGAAGGCACCGAAGTGCCCTCGGTGGGTTGGGGGCATACCACCGCCCCACCACCGTTTGCCTCCAACAGAACCTACTGCGGATTCGAGGTGCCTTGCGAGGAGACTTGGGAGCAACGCGTCGAGCCGTAGATGCGTGAATTGTGCCTGATCCGAGCGCCGAGTGAGCAGCCATTCACATTGCTCAGCTCTGCACGCGCAAGCACGTCACGCGCGCGCGAAGCTTCTCGGGCTCCTTGAGTGAGATTCCACGAACGTGCTCATAAGTTGACTGATTGTCTGATCACCACACGGCCGGTGGTCATCACTGTAGGTTCTGTGTGGCGGTGGTGGAATCACCCCACAATCACCAACAGCCATGGTAAAACGCGTGCGGGGTGAACACTGAATTGCCGCGAGAGGGCCAGTGTTGCAAGGTGTAATTTGACCGTCCTCCTATACCGTCTCCTCGCTTACAAAATCGCAAAAGCTGACTGATAACTCAACGGATCGGCTTCATGAGTTATTAATCCGAGCCGCCCGTTTCTGCTGTTGAGGAATGTGAAAGCCATTTCACCACACAATAGTATCCATTTCGATTGGACAGAGGAGACAGATGTGCGTTAGAACATCACCAAAATGTTTCTGACCCTAGCGTGACCCACCTTCCGGCCTGACCCAAGCCAGTCTTGTAAATGCCCCCAGAGTTTCTTTGGGGTCAAATTGGGGTTAGTGGTCAGTACAGGGTCAGATCTGAGTCAGTGAGTTTTTTTACCCAAAATTAACTTGCCTAGCACAGCCCTTGGGGATCTGGGGATGCGGGTTCGATACTTGTCGCTGGCGGTTCTAGACTCCAATTTATCTATTGACTTCGAAACTTATTAATTGTAAGAAACAAAACATTTCAGTATTTACCGAGACTCCACCGCTGAACAACTATGTCAAATCCTCACAACATAAGGTTCAATATACATTTTCCGATAATTGTTTTTTACGACGAAATCAAATCTTGCTAGGGTTTCAATTTCCATTGTCCTTCTGGTGGTGTTCACCAACCTCACCTCACAGCATGTATCCTTTTACTTCCTGACATTTCGCATTTAGATCTACCTGCTCCAATGTTGAATCTTAGAGATTTCACTAGCCCTTCCCTCTACCCTTAGCTGCCTTGAGCGCTTTCTTAAAAATACCCCTACCCCGCCCTCTTTCGATTTCTATCTGTCCTCATTGCAGGCTTCGATTACTGTCAGCAACAGCTACTTTCTAGTCGTCATATAAGCGTCTCGAGGTATTGTTGTGCTTCCATGCGTTTGTTTTGCTTTAATTTCATGGCCACTTTGTTCTCAGCTGTACATGTCATGTCATGTGTGTTAACGGCTGTCCATAAGGAGCGTAGGATGGGCGCTGCTACATTGGGAGCAGCTAAAGGACGGACGGGCACTGCCGCAGTCGCGAGCAACTAAAGGACGCAACGGGCGCTGCTACGTCGCGAGCAGCTAAGGGACGCGACGGGCGCTGCGTCGAGCATTCAAGGGACACGACGGACGCGACTACGTCGTGGCAGCTTAGGGACGCGCCGGGCGCAGCGACGGGCGCTGCGACAAGAGCCGCTAAGTACGTGCCTTACAGCTATTTCCCATTGTTAACACTCGGTTTACGCTTCTAATCGATATTATTATTGCTTCTTTAACAAGTTTACGCTTCTTTAACAAGCTTACGCTTCTAATCGATATTATTATTGCTTTCTATTACATGTACATTTGTGTGGCAGGAAGCAGTGTCATCTCTACATGTGAGATTGACAAGCTTGTTTCACGTTGATTTTATGTGCTGAATATTTTTTTTGTTTTGCTTTATTGTTACGACTCCAATTCCTTTTTATTTTTGCTTCCCAATATGAGAACCTTTTTGTGGCAGAAAGCGAGTATCAACACAGGGGGCGATTCTTCAGCGACAAAACGCTAGTTAACTATGGTGATTCATCTGAATTTTTAGCGCTGATGTTCTGTCCAAAAAATATACCAATCTGTGATTCCGCCACAGCAATCTCTTAAAGCCGTCTTTCCTTGCAGATTGTTGTTTCATTTTCCAGACATTGCAATACATTCTATCTTGCCGCCATTGAGATATATAAATTCACCTATCCTTGCATATTGTTGTCAGCTTGTCTCATGTCTCCTTTTCTTTAGTCTACATGCAGGTGCATATATGTTGTGAAGATTAATTTGGTTAAACTATGCAGCTTTTCGCCCCTTAACAACCTGACATGGAAACAAGCACGTGAAGATTATAATTATTATGCCATGCCTGATCTTATTTTGGGGCACAGAGCAATGAAGGTGATGTTTCCGAATTATAAGGTGATAAGTGCTAAATGATTGTTCTGGTTTTTATTTTTTTTAGCTGGCGTTATCTCATTTGTAATGCCGTTCACCCTATAATGTGTGTTGGTTTTGTGTTCCCAGGTTGTTTTAGCACTGCATTGTTTTTAATATTCTGCGGCCACTGTACAAGGCCCTGTTTTTTACATAGTCATGTTATTTAATATTTTGTTGTATTGTGGAAAATATATTATACAATTTCATCAAAATATGCTTATTACAAAAAAGAACACACTGTAAAGGGGAAATAATCGGGCCATGCGCTGGCCTATGACCCGAAACTGACCCAAATGTGACTTTTTCCGCCAAATCTTAACCCGTACGTGACTTTTCCCGCCAAAAATCTGACCCGTACCTGACCCGTACCTGACCCGAAAGTCACTTTTGGGTGAGCCTATCTGACCCCAGACTAACCTAAAGTGTCAGTTCCAAAAGTAACGTCTGGGACATCTTTCCAGATGTCCCGAATCTTGCCCGGAAGTCACCTAGGGGTCCCTTTTGGGTCAGTACATTTAATTTCGATTGAATCGAGACTTCTGGTTACGTGCACTCTTCTTATTATTTTTCTGACAGAGAATTTGCGAACACAACGACGCGGTGCTCTTCTAGCGATTGTCGATTCTGGCGAGAATATCGCAAATGAAAATCGTAGTCGCAAGTCGCGACACAAATGATGTTCTCCAGGCCGCCACAAACCCTTCTACCAGGTATATATCGTCTTGGGGCCAGCCTTCTTCGGAGGGCCATTTTCAGGTGCAATCCCATCATTAGGGAAAAGGTCATCAGGTGGGATCCCAACAACTTTTCGGCACTATTAGGGCACTGTTACGGCGCTGTACACGCGTGCAGCAACAGACCCTTGTACAGACTCGCCACTCACTGCCTGTAACATCTGACGGACTTTTTGTCCCTGACACAGCACTGACGGAATTTGAACGGACAACATGGCCAAGCCAGACTGCTGGCGCGCGAAACCACAACCCCACTTCCTCCCCTCCCCCCCGCGCAACCTGCTCAGCAGCACCAAACCTGCTGCTGAGGTAGCGCTCAAGCGAATGCTTGCAGGAAATCCTCCGCAACATCCATCGTGGCCTGAGACGAGACATTACTTCTGTGGCGCAACTGTAACCAGATGTAGAAAATACATCTTGCTATTTTTCAAGCAAGTATCTCCTAAAATCTCCCGCGTATGCATCTCTACACAAACCAGCGGTTTTACAGCCATGCATATTGATGTTTATAAATAGCATTTGAATTATTTTGGGTACGCACATGTCTAACCAAGACACATATCGACAATTGTCAGAATGTATTAACTGTCTAGCCTGCAGTGGGGTACTCTGTAATGAGTACAACCCAATTTAGGGTGTTGTACTTGTATCCCAACTCTTACTAGTGAAACTCATTCTCCTCTCTCAACTCTCTCGACTCATTCTCCTTACCCTCGATACTTTCCTTCAACCCTAAACCTAAGCTACTAAGGCACCTAAACTATGGCTCCTAAGCCAAACTCTACTTAGAACTTTCTCATGTTATCACAGCCTAACGCTCCTGGCCTGTGGGCCCACTTGCTTCCGCTGCCCTACTGTGTGTCGTGCGCCCCGTGGCGCGCGACCTCTATTTTTTCTTCCCGCCACGCGCTCGGGGCGCGTGGCGGTTTTCTGCCCGCCGTGCGCCCCGAGGCGCGCGGCGGGTTCCTCTCTCGTCGCGGCGTCTTGGGGGCCTGCGTGCCGGCCCCGAGCGTCGCCTCGTCGCGGCGTTTTGGGGGCCCGCACGCAGGCCTCTCCCATCACCTCGTCGCGGCGCTTTCGGGGCGCGCGA